GGCCTTAGTACTAGTATAAGAGATGTTAAACCGAATATGTTCAAAAACGATACATAATACCTGAAAAATCTACCAAGGTTTTCTTAGTAGTGTCACCTACTATGAGGTGGATGTATGTGAGTTCCCTCGTTAACCGAGTATATAACATTATTTCAAATAGAAACAGATCAATCTGCTAGTCTCAACTCTTGCTTTTCAGCAATCAATGAAGTCGTAATTGATTTGAAAAATTGAATATCCGTGCTTTATGAAATAATAAAAAGAGAATGCAGAGTTTAATTTCGCCGACGCGTTTCGTGTTATTTATTTAATAATAAAACACTCTTCAGGGCTCTGCATTTACAATAAGAAGCAAAAATGAAATTCAAAATTCAAGAAGAAGCAAAAATGAAATTCAGATTACAATAAAAACTACAAATGAAATTCAAATTAATAATGAAAATGAAAATGAAAATAACAACTTAAAATGAAGCAGCACGAAACAATCAAGAAGCAATCAAAAGAGATAATAACATTATAGAAAATAATATTACTTATTTGTCTCTTAAAGATATAGATGGATAATATCCGATTTCAATATGTAGTTTCTCTTGTTTAAATAGTAACACTATAAAGAATAACATCACTTATTTGTCTCTGAAGATATAGGTAGATAGTATCTGATTTCAATTAACCAATTTCAATTATATCAACTGTGACATGGGTAGTTGAACACCAATTAAGTAAATAATATTTATATTTGTAATCCCTATCTATAAAATGGAAAACATACGAGCCTTACAATACCAATTTCTAGTATATTGAATAACTCAACATTTAGTTGTTCCCATGCGATGAAAGGTAACATTGGTAACATAATCTCATAACCAAAGTTATCAATTTAAAGGATACTAATATCACTTATTTGTCTTTGGAAATATAGGTGGATAAACTAAGGACTATAGTTTTTAAAGACCAAAGTTTCAAATAAGTATTGATCTACATAATATTAATACCACCTATTTGTCTTTAAAGATATGATCGAAGTTATCAATTTAAAATTTAAATAATATATACTTAGGGTTATCCAAAAGTAGTGAGCCTGATATTGTGTTTTGGTATAGATCGCTTGGAAAAATTTTCTTTTTTTATGAAAAGATAGAGCGTCTTTCGCTGCATCTTTCTATGCTATTTGATCAGTATTAAACTTATATCATAATAATAAAATTTCGATAAGAACTATTTTTGTTGAAAACCAGTTGGTAGCATTTAGATCATAAGGAGTGTGGCATAAAAAATGGGACACTTTTGCATTTCATTTTATTATCACTCAATACGTTGTATTTAAAAAACACAAAATATATCAGAAGATGCAGCGTGAAAAGCTCTACGATTTATAAAGTACCGCTTATTTTATAGTTGTACTTTTTCTTTTCAAAATGGACAAAACTCTGAGTTACCAAGTTTCGACATGATGAAAACGAGACTGTTTTTTGGATAAAAAAGCGAATTCGTTTTTTTTCTATCTTATTTTTGTATCATTGTTCTTTGTAAATTGTAGAGCTCTTCACGCTGCATCTTGCAGTGTATTTTGCTTTTTAAAATAAAACATATTAAGTAATAAAAAAATGAGATAGAAAAAACGGAATTTATCCTTTACCAAAAAAACAATCTCGTTTTCGCAACGTCGAAATTTGATAGTTCAAAGTTTTGTTCATTTTTAAAACAAAAAGTACAACTGTAAAATAAGCGGTACTTTATAAATCGTAGAGCTTTTCACGCTGCACCTTTTGGTATATTTTGTTTTTTCGACACAACATATTATGTGATAATAAAGTGGAATGCAAAAATACCACATCCATTATGATCTAAATGCTACCAACTGGTTTTCAACAAAAATAGTTCTTATCGAAATTTTATTATTATGATATAAGTTTAATACTGATCAAATAGCATAGAAAGATGCAGCGAAAGACGCTCTATCTTTTCATAAAAAAAGAAAATTTTTCCAAGCGGTCTATACCAAAACACAATATCAGGCTCACTACTTTTGGATAATCCTAAGTATATCACTTCTTTGTCTATAGAAATATAGACAGGGAGAATAAGGTTCGTCATTTTAGAAGACCAAAGTTTCAATTGTGTATTGATTTGAATGATATTAATTTGAATAATATTAATATCACTTATTCATCTCTGGAGATATAGTCAGTAAGGATAAGTTATCGGTTCTATAAATTATAAGTCATATCATTTATTCTTCACTAATGAAGATACAAGACCTCTGTAATGCAAATTAAATCAAAACATATAATAATAAATACTCAATAAATAATAAAATTAAACTCGTATAAATCTAAGCCACAAGTATTAGGTTAAAACAAATAAATGAATATGCATCGAGACGTATACAGCTACGTGTGTAATAGTAAGTCGTATAAACGGGTCAAAACATATAAACTATATGTGCCCGACCAAAAACGAATTTGTCGCATATAAATCTATTCAAAACAAGTGTGGCAAAAAAAAAATAATTTGGGTGCGTTAAGCAACCATGATATCGATATTTCATGTCAGCAATGACAATTTTCAAATGGTCTCGTAACGAATATTAATTTCCAAAGAAATTAACTCGAAACAAAATTAATTCTATACTGTTACCGAAGTAATGTAAGAATTTATTTCACAGTAGTTTGGACAGCTTTATTGTTTAGAATGAATAGGGCAGCTGTAATTTTTATTTTTCATATCCAACCTTAGGGTATTCAAGTAAAAAGAAATGATCATGGGAAAGTTAGTATTGATATGGTTAATATTTGAATCTTGATTTTGAGTCAGAGCTACCAAGTTTTTTGGGTGTGGGTGTGGGTGGGTGTGTATACAAATGAATTTCATTTAATAGCACAAGCTGTGCTTACGACCGGTTTCGATCTTGCTTAAGGGTCTTCATCAGGTAAGTTCGGCTATTAAATTTTAAAGTGCTGCAATTCGATTCTATCTACAAATTTGAAAGAGTTCAATGGAAGACTAGCAAAGATCTAAACTTTCATTAAACTACCATGAATATGTATGTTAAATGGTTTGTTAGTGCTTGTAATTTTAGCGTTTTGTTATGGATAATCTGGTACGTGGTTGAAATATGTGAGTTCATTTTGGAATGGATTGGTAATTTTATCCGGAAGTGTTGTTGTTTTTTATTTGTGTTTTGGTGGTAATGTTTGTTTATTCTGGATAATGTTTCCGATGTGGTATTGTCGCAGTTCTGATACCTAATGCAGAGCTAGTGGAGATAGGTTTTTGGTATATAGATTGATGTTTTGGTTTCAGTCAAGTCGTTGTCTGATAATCTGTATAAATGTTGAGCGAATCTAGGTTGATTTGTCGTGTATTTGGTAGTGATATGGCTGGATTTATAACGAGAATGTCATGGATTTGTTCAGTTGAGTAGGAAACTAGTAAGTGTGCTTCCAGGATTATAATTATCTAGAATGAAACTATATATATTAGTATGATATTAGAAGAAGTGCGCAAATGTATTTTATTAATCTAAGGTTAACTATTTAGCACACAGATTACAAACACTAAAGATTAACTAATATCTACGAGGTAAATAAAGTTGCTTATATTGATTAAATATTATTTTATAATAATGACCATTGTATTTTTAAAAGGTCACTGAGTTGATGTCGTGGTTCACATTGATGAATTATTCAAATTAGCACACCAATGTAGGTTATACGGGGGACCATAACGTTTTTCAGCATTACCACCAAGTGGACAAATCATATTCAATTTAGTTTCACCATGAATAATGAATAATGTTTCGATGATGTATCGTAGAATCATTGAACAATCATCTGGTACTAAATCAATGTGAAAGAAAGACAGATATTAATGATAATGATGAGAATGATGATGTGGTTGATAAAGATAGATTTACTTACAAACGGCAATAATTGCTATGTTATATAAATCTAATTTGATACAAGGCCGGTAATGAATGGAAGACGTAGCAAATCGTTCGAAAAATAGACGCTGTTGTTTTAGCTGTCGAAATGAGAAGGCATAGGAAGCTGGTGGTAATGGTATATTATCTAGATAATTGGCCACCCTACGATTGTCTACGGCAGTTGTTGCTATCACAGCATCCAGATTGGGATCTGTAGTAGAATTTCCTGGACGATTAGCAATATTTTCTGTTACTGCGTCATCCCAAGGTAGAGGAATAAAACACCAATACATAGAATTACAATCAAGAAATGAACGAAGTGCTTCTGGACAACGAGCTGAATGTTGATAGAGACGCATTTGGTTAGTCATTTCGTTTCTACAACAATGAAAAAGAAAACAATGAATATGTAGCATAATTGAAAGAATGATCAAATGTCTTTTATTACTCTCTTTCATTAGGATCGATTTGTGATCCTCGAAATAGAGGACTACCAGTTAAGTTTTCATGTATAATTCGATTGCCATGTTCTCGATGATCTGTATATTATAAGAAAATGAAGAAGAGAAATAAAGGCATGCTCATGATAATCGTAAGAAAATTTATATTTACAAGCCATAGCATTAGCCAATGTTTTTGCTGTTGAATCAGCATAATCATAATGACCACATGGACATGTCGTGGCATAAATTATATTCGATGTAGTACATGTCTAAATTTTACTCATAGCCGACCGATATAAAATTCAATATTTAAGGATAACGTACTGCTGGACAATTTAGATAGGTAGTATAACCATTGAGAAATCGATGCATTGAACTTGAAGCAAAATTAACAATTGGCCATGGTTGACTTTTCTTGTAAGTATTTAATGGAAGACAACATTGACAAAAAAGATTATTACATGGAATCAATGAATATCTTGCTTGAGGTTCATCTCTTCCACAAAATAGACCTTCTATATTAGATGGAGGTTGAGCTTCTCGAAACGAACAAGTTTTCATATAGAATAAATCCACTAAAAAATATGAAACATATATGCATCATATATATATATATATCGACATGAAGGCTAATCGTCGATTTGTAAATAGAATTCCAATGCCATAGCCATTTGTTTCGAATTAGGTGTTGGTTCTTTTAGAGCAACATCACTCTTACATAGAACATATCGTCGAAATGATTCATGGAATGCAAGAAGAGTATGACAGATGCTACGAAGTCGTTGCGCATTGAAAGTAATAATTGATTTGCCTACTTGTAATCGTGAAGCTAATTCATTAGCATCTTGTTCAGATAAACTAAATCCATCAGAATAATTGTACTTATTCATCAGCATCAGTGCATCGAAAATATAGGCTCCATGTTGACGTCGAGCGAGTTCATGAGATACAAGACGACTAACTAAAAGACAATGAAATGAAATGATTTATAATCAGGGTGTGGGTGTGTGGGTGTGTTACAAAATAGAGTGATTCAAAGCATCATACGACGCGTTTCGACTGGACCTTATCCCAGTCATCATCAGGTATGTTCTGAATCAAATACTACATGGATATATAATTTAGAAGATAAATTTCAAAACCTATATATTGAAATAATACTATGTGGAAGTCAGAAAAAGACTAACAGCAAGTAAATGTTTCAGAGGAATATGAAATAAAAATCATTCAGTCATAT